TGAATAATTAGCAAAATGATTTGTTTGTGATTTTACTATGAACAGAGGACATAAGATCAAAACTATATTGATTTACGTATAATTTACGATCTACTTAGCAAGAAGTCATGATTTTCGGGTCATTTTCACACAACATAAAAAGGATTTTTACTACCAATTAATAACTCTTAGACCACTAATTATAAGTATTTTACCAAGACTATTATGTCAAACAGAGGTCATTCATTTTGAAATGTTACTCAAATAAGCAAAGTCGTTTACTTGATTCTTAATCGTTTATCACACAGTTTTAAAACATTTAAAATATTATTTTACATTCACGTTTGAAATGTTTGGAAGTACTGGTTGTTTTGAATATGAAGACAAAAACATTACTAAATGACTCCTTAGAAATATCTATTAAAATATATTACATCAAGAATCATTTCAACTTAATATTTAATCAGCTTTAATTTACTTTCGGTTCAGTGGAATTATTTTTATTCTATAAAACTTTAATATTATTATTCTCCTTCATTTGTGCACTGTTGAATTTACAATCAAGTTAGTAGATAAACAAACTGATAACAACTGAGAATGTTTCAATAAGTGATATTCATAACATTGATATTCCTATAATACATTTTAATAGTGACTCATTCAACTATAACCGAAACTGATTAATCATATTAATGTTTTCAAGTAAACATAAAAAAGGAAGTTGCAATTATGTTCATATTTTTAACCATAAAAAATAAACAGAATAATTGAGGTGTGACCCATAAGCAACTGTATTATAATTTAAAAAAGAATACCAAATGGAAACTTGGATATGGGAAAGAAATTTTTGGTGTTAAAAAGAATTTCAAATGATTGTTCCTTATTTATAGACAGATATGGGCTTATATTTTTTTTATAAAAAAAGAAGAAATTGTGACACAGTCAGTTAAACAAATCTATATCGGAGATTGGACTTTAAAGGGGACACAGCGGGTGATATTCTAACAAATAGACTCAAAAGATCTGTTGAAAGGACGTTTCACACCGCCAAGTTACACATAATTTTCTCAATTAAACCAGTACTCACTCAACTAATCAAGGATAGGTTGCCGAAGATAGGCCCCTCCATGTGTGTATACGAATTCAACTGCTCCTGTGGAGCTAGTTACATAGGCCGTACTCAGAGAGCATTATCCCTGCGTGTTCGTGAACATGTACCAGCATGGTTGAGAAAAGGAGTCATTAAATCGATCAACAGCACTATACTTTCACACTTGGTAGATAATGTACATTATATCAAAATAGAGGAAGCTTTCTATGTTTTATATTAAGTTCCGAAATACCTACCTACATCAACTAGATTACCGTTACTCTACGTAGCCGAGGTCATCTGGATCAACTCCAGAAAACCAAACTTTTGTATCCAGAAAACGTATGTCCAGGCTCTATGTAACCTTGGCATACGAGTGGATCACCGAATACCTAGACTGAATATTATAAACTTCTTACCCACTTCCTATTTTTCCCTATTATCACTATTTTTTGATTACCTCTATCTTAATCTTCACATCCATCATTGCCAATTACCCTGATAACACCCCTCTTGTTACGTGTTATATTCACACAATAATATTATTATTATTATCTCAATTGACCAGATGAAATTCCCCTACTATGCATTAATTCACACAGTATTTTTTTTCCATTTTGATTTTTGCTATAATGCTAATCTACTGATTATGACTGGACCCTTTACTCCAAATCATTCTGACCTTTATTAAATGACCTTTCTAATTTGTAAATAACACAATTTTGAAGTATATATGTCGTAACAGATGTAAACGTTTACTTTTTTTTAGCATATAACATTGACTCATGATCTCAACTGCTGAAATTACTACAATCTCTACAAAACCCCTTCAGATGGATATAACATGGTCAATCTCATTAATACATGCCTTATTTTGGCCTTTGTAAAATATCGTAATTATAATTGTGAAGCCTGATGATGAAGTTATTGAAAACAATTGTTCGCCCAAATATTCTTCATTTTTAAATATCCTATGAGGATTCTTAAACTGCAAAAACGTATACATTTGAGGGTAGTGGATGTTTGATGAAATTAGGCATTGATTAGCGAAACCAGTGAAATTTTATAGCACATTATTTTTTTGTTTCCACTTTTCAATAGCAAAGATATCGAAGAAATATTGAAATATATTTATCAAATAGTAATCGATACATTTCAAGAACTAATTGAAAAGGTTTCTGATTAATTCTTTTAACCATCTAATATTCTAGATAAGGTTCTGTTGGACCTCTATTAATTTTTTTAATTGTATGAATTGAGACATACTTTCTATTCTAACACTAATACAATAAAAAAGATATACTAATCACTGGAGTTTGTTAAATACTAATTAATATCAGTATTACATATATATATATATATATATATATATATATATATATATATATATATATATATATACTTGTTATATGCTAACCCAAAATATCTACTTGGGTAGGAAAACTAAAAGGGAATAGGAAGCTCAAATTGGCTAACCGAATCGGCAAGATATAAACAGAAAGTTGGATCAAACTTTTACCGGTAAATTAAGCACGTTAACATCTGACACTTATCGACTAGCTTGTCTCTGACTGACGATTTATATCAGAAACAAGCTTTCTTTATTGTTGTATCCTACTTGACACATTGATTTTGATGACTGGAGTAATAATTTATCAATTTCTATAGGTATCCATTATCAATTTAGGATATTTCGATATTAGTATATTCTTCTCTTAGTCTTTTATTTATTCAAAATCTACGAGGATAATCGAATATATACTTTAATATTCCTCATCTAATACATAGCTATCCGGTAAATCTAAATGAGCTACCTATAGAGGTGACTCAAGATTCACCACTTCATTTTTAAACCAAATACTAACAACATAATATCAGTAGCATCAGCCTGTCTTAATACTATGATCTGAAAACCATTAGAATCAAGAAAATTATTATTTAAAACTGTTAGCAGTTTTGGTTATTTGGCCAGACATGTAAGACAAGGTGTTTATACCTTGATAAGTGTCTTGTCTTACATCTTGAAAATCCACTAAGAAAAGTAACTCCACATTGATTAATATAATTGAATATCAGTGGTGTTCGATGTAAGGTTATCACAGACATAACAAAAAATGGGAAAATTAATCAAAACTAGCATTTATCTAGTACATTTTTATTTTAGTAACTAACTGAACGTGATCTAAAATTAATTGCATATTGTTAATTTTTCATCCTGAGATTTTAATTTATAACCTGACGATAGACCTACATTTTTAACATCTATTGTATAACAAAAAAAATAGCCAATTGTCTGTATACCTTTTATTCTCAATAATTCTTTAATGTTTTATTCAGGATTTCTGCAGGAATTTTACTTTGGTTTGCATAATTTGTCAATAATCTACATATTACATGTAATAATGTAACTAAGTTATAAGAATTATTTATTCAGATTTATGTTAACAATTAGCTTTTACCAAAAGGGAAGTGAATAAACAAACAGTTTAAAAACCCGCATATTATGAAAAAATATGAATAACATATTTCTAAATGAAATCAAAGTTTTATATTATTTACAGAATATTTTGATAGGAGAAATAACAACTCAATAGAAACTTGTTACCATTGAAATAAAAAATAACGGCAATTACCATCTATAAGCAGAGATAGATGATGGCTAACAGTGAAATTCAGGACGCAATATTCCTCCTATTTCAGATTGACCAGCTACGTCTACCTGCATTCCACAGTCCATGCACATATGTCAATAAATGACTGATCAATTTCAGTCCTAGACATCACTGAGAACATTCAAATAACCAATACAAAAATGAATTAAGTTTCACCACATGCACAAACTAGTGGCTATCAGGACTCAGTAACTAAGTGGATAACGTGATGTTGTTTGAAGCGAACGGTACTGGATTTGAGTTCTGAAGTGAAAATCAACTGTAGGATGCATACACATGCAGCTGACAAGTTCAGAACAGGATGAAACACGCGTCTTTGATTCCACTGATAATTAATATTCTTCTGTTATTATAATTCTTGTGATTTAAGACAATATCAAGGCAATCTACATAGGATGCACATTTGTTAATGAGAGACTGATCAATTGCAGTCTTAAACGTCAGTGGGAAGATTCAAACAACCAATAAAAAATACTCCCATCTATTTCACTGATCTTTAAAGGTTTAACATTCCATAAAAGTATAATTTAATATCTACTATTTATTTTACAGTTATTAAGCGAAACTTTAAAACTATTCCGAACAGCATGATTGTATATCTCAGAAACTATATACCACTATTACATACGTTTATTACCCAAATTAAAATTCTTCAAAATAAATCTCGGAGATAAGTTTACTTCACAATGTTACCAAATTGTGAATAACTTCTAATGTATCACAGAAAACGCTTAGTAATATCTTATTTAGAACAATAACTGATAAACAACATGAGAAAGAAATATGCACATAAGTTAACAAAACTTTTAAGTATAACTTAAAAATTCTCCATTCAATTGGATTTATAAATATTTGAGATTTAATAAAATAAAAATATTATTCGTATATGAATAGTTAACAGATTTGTACTTATTCAAGACTAAATTGATTTCACCTGTATTCAATAGCTTATTTCATTTTGAATAATAGTTAGTAATGTAATGAACAGTGCGCGTTTTGTTTTATTAATGACGAAGCGACTGAGTGTACCCCATCCTCATTAATGCTGTTTGCATTTGTCCACACCTAACAGACGAGTTCAAATATCTTTATTTTAATCAAAGCATATAGGGGTAATTTTAATTACACACCCTTGGGATTCATCTCTATTTCTAAGGTAATTAATTTCGAAAAAATTGGTCAGTCTAGAATCAATGCTGTTTGTGAACTTTATTTGTTTTGAGTGGCAAATCGGTAACAATAAGACAAATAACACTTACCTTGATAGCTTCATAATTGCCTTTCTCTGAAGCACGATGGATCGGTGTCATACTATCTGATGCCCGATAATCTAAGTGTGCTCCACCAGCCACTAAAGCCATAACCATTTCATATGGTTTTTCCAATTGTACAGCCATGGTGAGTGGAGTTTCTATTTGGAAAATTCAAGAACGAAAACGGATTAACATGTACTACAAAGTAAAATACGGGCAAATTAAAGTAATTTGTATTGTAAACATTGAACGTAATATTTTTGTCTAACAGAATAAACGACCACTTTATCCGATTATAGTATTGCGAATACTTCTGATTTATATGTCTATGAAATCAATTAAAAACATCTAGTAAAATAAATAAATCTTTGTTGACAATGAGAATAACAATATTTTTTCAGAAATTAGTTCACTTGTAAACTATTAACTAATTTATCTTATCAATTAAAACTTATATATTAAACCAATGTTCCATGCGAATAGTGAGCACACATTGTAATTAAATTTATACTTGAGTAACAAGTAAATGTTGAAGTACCCTAAAAGCGAACCGTGTATATCACGGAGCAGATAAAACTAGACTTTGATATGTATAACGAAACCAACTCTTAATCTAACACGACTGACTGGTTAAACATACAAGCATTTTATCCACCAACACAACTCTGTTACACAGTCAATGATCTCATAAACCGGATATCATTAACGTTTTTCTGACAAGCCTGTGGTAATCAACAAAACAAGCATGAAAAACTTAATCTGATGAGGTATTGCAATGCTACCAGTTGGCTTATTATTTCCACCTAATAACCTACGTCTAGCCTATTATTGATAGCACCATAGTTTAACTGTATTAGAACAATCCTTAAAAGGTGTGTGTTTAGATACGCAGAAATTTCTGCATTAGTTTTACTCAGATGTCGGAGGCGTTTTGAAATTTTGTTAGTTGAATTCATGAGTCGAACAAACCAGACCACCGTTGGAAACCTGTATGTACTGAGCAGTTGTCTCGCCCTAGTATGGGACTCCTCAGCGGTGCACATCCACGATCGCGCACTCGGGACTCGAGGCCAGAATCTTCGGTCTCGCGCGCGTACATTTAGTTCAGTATTTCAATAACATGTATTCATCCTGATTAGTATGTAAGTGAGACCAAAAGATGAATGCGCACAAAATCGCTCTTAATTAGATCTTCATCAGCACTTACTCTAATAAACATTAATGTTGTATGTATATATAAACAATATTAAATCAATGAAGACAGCTTATGAGTCATTTAAACAATGTTAAAGGACTACATAACTAATCATCATAAGTAAAAGTACGAATCGATAGCTAGGTGGAACGTATTTTGGTAACTATGAAAGTAATAAACACCTTAATAACATGAGCAAATTAACTGACATAAAAAGTTGGCGAATACACAAAACACCAACTTACTAAAGTAATGAACTTCAAAAACTACGTAACAACAAGTGTGTTTAAATAATTAAGTGAAGAGGAGATAAGAAAGGGATAAAAAAAACAAGTGTGAAGAACTGATGGAACTATTTGTTAAGTCTTATCAGTCCAGTGATGGTGATAGAGGTGTTACGCGTTCCTTATGAACAGAGACTACAGTTGGTAGTTCATTTCCTGATAAATTCTGGCATGTGTAAGAGACGGGATATAACGCAATTAGGAATATTTAAACATACGAAATAAACCACTCCAAATATTTTTTTCTAGTTACTACATGTCTGCTATCGGCCGAGTGTAATAAAATGGACATGAGTATTGAATTTATCAAACCCTACGAAACCATGAAGGGAGGTGCTCGCTAGCTCATGGGCTAAGTCACCTGATCATACACTAGATAAAGCTTTCGCAAATACAAATAATAACGCATATTATAGTTAAGACGCAGACAAGAATCTGTAATTAAGCTTCTCATCCATAAAAATCTCTTAAGTTAATTGGAAAATATAGTAATTTCAGATTTATTATACTAATTATTTAAAAGCATTAGATTTTTCTCTAACAACAGCATAGCTTTATTTTAGACACGGTTACCATTTTACGTGGAAGAAAGCTGATTTTATTAATCAGGTTTTCTATAGGGAAACTGACTGTTATGGCTAGGTAGTAAACAGACTTGAATATATATATATATATATATATATATATATATATATATATATATATATATATATATATATACGTTTTATTCAACGTAGACAAAGTACCAAATTAATTAAACAGGAAATACTGTAAGGGTTTGATATCATTATCAACGACTCTACTTCCTTTCTCTAATACACTTTTGTCTCTTAAATTTGCTTTTGTACTTGAAAAAATATCATTCAAGTATACAAACCAAGTAGTTATAGGAATTAATGACTTATTGAAATCTATGAATATTTTATAGATGGAAAGGAATTTTTGTCAACATACGAAAGTACATTAAGATAAATAATAGTTATCTCATAGTGTATATATTAGTATTAAATTACTGCAAAGCTTTTCGGTAGATCTGGATTCATTGATGTTTACTACAGCGATTAATGAAAATAAAAGTTTGTGAAAACAATTACCACCAAAACATTCTATTAGATAGCATATCATTACCTTTAAAATTTACGATCGCATCTATTTTGATGAACTCAAGAAATTTAAATTCATAAATAAGGAAGTCATGGCTAATGTAAAAGGTTTCAGGATGTCACTTGGATTTCATTTAAAATCCAAAATGTTCAAGTCATAATATGGAATTTGCTTTGGCCAATGTTAAAGTCTAAAACGTCAACTAAAAAGGTTAACTGTATATACTCCTGAGAAAACTAAGTAGTTTAATATCAGAAGTAGTTGCAATCTGACGAATTTTAAAAATCGATAACAAAATAACTTCGCTAAAACTATTTGGTTCAGGAAAAGCGTCTTGTTGAACCAAGTTTAAATAAAGTTCAACCGTTGTAGATTAGTTTATTAGTCCTAAATGAGTTACTTTAGAATAACACAAACCTTATTTACGTTAATTGTTCTATTGTTTAAAAGTCCCATCACTAATTATTTTCGACAACTTAATTATAGCCCATCATTCATCTGAAATGACAGATGACTGAAAAAGATTTTAGTGAAATAGTATCCTATATTATTATGATTTACCAATAATAATTCTGAAATAATTGACTTGATTTTTTAAGAGTGGATACAAACAGTAACTACAATGATGTATAAGTTGAGTTTCTACACACGTTTTTCACTAGAATATTTGAGCCTCAGCACATTTTCCTTGATCGATCAAATATTCATTTTGGCGTTAACAATTCATTTACTGACACTTCCGTATAGACAATAACATAGGCTCTTAGTCCAAAACTCTTGCCCAAATTAAAAGAACAACAGTCAAAGAGATAATGTTTTATTATCGTGAAGAGGTATAATTGATGTTATACAACCGTATAGAAATCAGTCTGATGTCATAATAAATTATTATCAGTGACAATGATGTTTTGTAAAACATTGGTTAGTTAACATGAATAAACATTCAAATGGTTTATTCACTTCGGATATGATTACTAAATCGTATTTAGACTAATATCCATTATAATATGAATATATGGGTGGTGCAATATACGTCACCGTGTACAATCCTGTTCATATTAGAGTGGGAATATATATATATATATTTATATAGGAAACAACGGCTCAATTAAGTTGTACTTTATGGATGACTTTCAGTTATGTTGGACGAATTTATGAAAATAATAAATAAACAAATAAAATGTGGGAACAAGGGTGGAGGGACAATTCATACGAAAATTCTACTGCCTCACTAAATAATTAGTCCAACACTATACACAACTATGTACAACGTTTAAGCATTCAATTTATTCATAATAAAACAAAGCTGTTTATGATTTCATCTGAATGAATAATAGTTTGTTCAATTAAACTAATATTTCACATAACTGTCTATCGTTCAATTGGTACAAACACTAGGGTCACCAATACAATTTGCCGAGAGTTTTAATATCAAGATGTTACTTATAGCATATCAAAAAGTCACTGATTTGGCAATTTATTTTTGCTACACAAAATAGTTTTTTTCGTTATGAATTGTGATTAATCGAATTGAATCACTTTTCGAAAATTTAGAGCAACCTGTAGATGGTTGACTGTTTCACAATAAACAAATTGAGCTAATAGAACCGATTTAAAATGATAGTGACAAAAATGCAGAGAAATAAAAATGTTTTGCTATGAAGCAGTATTCTATCAATGCTATTGTATTATGAAACATATTTCTATGCTAGACGCTTTTTAGCATCACTACAGGCTTTTTTTAATGAGAACAGAACAGATAGGTACTAAGGTACAAAAAAATATGCAACAACTAACTTTCATCACGGTCTTCCAACAGTCAAAATGTGACTAGAATTGGGAATCTTTATTTGCTCTGATGGCAAATAAATGGATTCTTGTAGCGATAACAACACGGTTAAGATAAATGAAACAAGATTTTATGAATCACACTAGACCGAAAAATATAAGAAAATAGTTTATAACGAGGCTCTTCCTAAATTCTAATAACAGAGTCAGTTTTATTATAACAGAGATTAGTGATTAAACCATTAATTAAAATTAAAGTGGTGTGGTGTTTGAATGAGCTAGTGATTCCTTTGTACTTGTTGAATGCTCGAATTCGAAATACTGTACATCCGTTCGTGCCTATCTATTGCTTCTTGATCCAATTGAGTTATTTCTGGGATTCCTAGTTCGTACTATAATTCAAATACTCCTAATTACCACAAGTGGTTAACTAATTCTTTACGTTATGTAAAAAGGGAAAATGATATCTCCCGTGCTAATAAAACAGAACATAATCACCGGTATTTGGAAAAATGAAATGCAGAAAAGGTTTCCGTGTTTCCGGTTCTATGATACTAGTTACTGTAATTCTGTTTGATTATGTCTGTTTTGTAACAATCTGTAAAAATGAATGATTCGCATTTTACAGTATCTCAATTAATATGTGAGAGTCCTAACTCTTATAGCGTTCATAATAATATGTATCACTGACTCAAACTTTACATCAAGCTACCAAAATGTTGGTATTTTGATGGATTGACAGATCCTAAGCAACTAAATTCGAAGACACTAGTAATTAAACCACCAACCAATGACTGGGTGATTATACCCCGCTATAACAATATCATAGGTAACCATCAGTGAAGTAATCTATTTATCGTTTTAATGGTTAAACTCGTTTTGAACTTTCTTACTACTGAGTGACTTCAGTTTAACAAGATTCTATGTAATTATGAGCAGAGATGGATAGTGGTTATCAGTGGACGCGTGTTTCATCCTGTTCTGAACTCGTCAGCTGCATGTGTATGCATCCTACAGTTGATTTTCACTTCAGAACTCAAATCCAGTACCGTTCGCTTCAAACAACATCACGTTATCCACTTAGTTACTGAGTCCTGATAGCCACTAGTTTGTGCAATGTGATGAAACTTAATTCATTTTTGTATTGGTTATTTGAATGTTCTCAGTGATGTCTAGGACTGAAATTGATCAGTCATTTATTGACATATGTGCATGGACTGTGGAATGCAGGTAGACGTAGTTGGCCAATCTGAAATAGGAGGAATATTGCGTCCTGAATTTCACTGTTAGCCACCATCTGTCTATTCTTTTATCATTTTTGACTTAAGATAATGTCAAGGTGATCCTCAGTTGCAGTCCTAAACATCTATGGGAAGATTTAAACAACCACTACAAAACTGAATTAATTCTATGTAATTTTTCTGTTTGGTGGTAACTAATGGATACATATTTTATAAATTAATTTATTAATTTATCGTCTACAACGAGCCCATTTTCAAAACTATACAATCGTATATACATGTATTAATTTATTGGTTATATTTATACGATATATATGCTCATATGCATAAACTGATAGATAAATACCAAATAGGTTTATTTAGTGGTAAAAAATATGGACAAGAATATATCAATTTATCTTTTTGTCACAATGCGTTTATTCAGATACTTGCTTAGTTATTTAATAAAAACAATCATAATAATGTATTCACTTACCTCCGTTTGGTTTCCATTGGAAATTTGGGTCCAGTCCTTTATTCAACCATTTATTAACTTTATCTACATCATCCACCTTGACATATTCAATAAACTGACGAAAATTTGCCTTAGAATATGCAATTGATAGAAATAAATTATAAGGATAAACGATTAAAATAAATTACTTACACTAAGGTAAACATAACGAGAAGGGTGAATAAATGAACAAGCTGAAACCAGTTGGATAAATATTGAAGATTTCACGAAAACTGATATAATAATGGATGATCATAAACTCACTAATGAATAGCTTTGAGGCAAGTTTCCTGAAGTTTCTGTGTAAACTATGGGTCAACAAAGTCGAAATTAAGATGGGGGATCGATGATAACGTTAAATAAGCAACTGATTTATAAAATGGTTCAGCTAAAGTTGGAAAACATAAATCAACAGATATAACCATTTCGGTTCATATTTGTTGTGTTCACGGTGGGAATTATGGGTCGTTTTCACTTCAATTGTAAATGAAATCCAGATCAAATGCTCATTGATGAAGTAGTCAAACCTACATTTGAGACAATTTTTAGATAATTGATGACAGTAACTTACAATTTCTAATAAACCAAATGATTGAGTTACTACAACAACGTTAGTGATACGTGAATTCGCTCAATGAACATACTAGTTTACTCAGTAATTTGATTTCTGTTATTTCCGCTTAATTCAATGGATAATCTCAGTATTATGGACTATAATATTGAGTGATTGAAATGATTAATCTAACACATTGCTCACTGCTATCGTTATTACGAAACTATCTAACAGTTCTGAAATCCAACTCCAAGGCTTCAGACCTATGATAGACGATAACATTGAGCTACTATGATAAATTTTATTTGTTCAGGTAATTGACTCAATTCGACTAAAATATAAGTAATTCAAGATGTCAGATGAATGTCTACTATTCTAAAATTCTCAGTTTTTATGTGATCGAAAGTCCCTTCGGTTAGCAACATTCTCAAAATTTAGAATGTCCAATTAAAACATGTTAGATACATGGAGGTTTTCAATAAAGTCGATAATCAATTTTAAAATTACAGTATCAGGTGCCTTCAAAAATAATGAGTAAATTTATTTGTTTATTTAAAACAGAAAATCTTGTACAACTAAGCACTGAAAATAGTATGCACTACGAGCGTCGGTAATTGATGGACGATATCAAAGTTACTGAGATGATGGACCCAAAACGCGAACAAGTCACATGAGTAAATGTTTAAAAACGGTGAAGACACAGCTAACTATTAGAAAGCCATTCAGGCGTACAAACTTTTCAAGTGCTTCTAACAGATCACTACAAAGAATGAGTGCAGGCCTGTGACTCTCAGTGCGGTAGTAGCGATTTGCTTTTAATAAGTGAAAAACAAATGTCATACTAACGGGCACCGATTCCTGGCTGAATAAGTATAATTTGGATAGCTTGTGTATAATCTTAAAGTAAAACAACATCAGCGCTATAATTAAGGTCAAAAAATCTTTCCAAGATACAAATCCACATCCTCAATATATACTACCTTCAAAGCTTTTTCCAAAATGTTAACCTTGGAGAAGAATTGTGTGCTTAGATAACTCTGTTTAACCCCACTACTAGATTTGGATAACAGAGAGAGGCGATTTTAAGCCTTCACCTTACCTAAAATGTATATACATATAGGGTTTTTAAGGTGTTAATAAGATTCCTAAGGACACTGTTCTTTAACAGATAATCCTAGAGAACAGTTCTGTCCAACAAAACGAAGGATCGCCTTGTATCAAGTTACACAACAATTGATGGCCTGCAATACATGAGGCAGTACTCTTACGTTTGAAAGTAGGGTAAAATGTGACTGATATATACACAAACTGGTAAGAAACCAGACCACTTGTTATGAATCACTCTGTCATCGGTTTTGTCAATCTGTGAAATATGACGGAAGCAATACTTCGGACCTAATCTAAAGTAGACTTATTCTCTGATGGCTGATCCATGAATTACGTAAGTTCTTTCTGGAGATGGAGATGACAATAACTTGATCCTGTGATGTTCAAGCGTCCTCTATTTCCAATCCTTCTATCAAACAACTCAGTCAGGTGCGCGATCATAAGTCATACATATCCTAGAATATAGCAAGGGATACTTCGCCAGGGCTTTGTGACTTATGGCGCCCCAGAATTTTAGAATTCTTGGGGAACTCTTGTTCATTAGGCGGATAGGCAGTTACAGACTAAACAAGCCAAGACAGTCGAGACATCACTGGAGTAATAACTTATCTAAACTGTTCCTTTGCCATCATCAAAGAGAATATTAGGTGTTACTAATTGAAGTTTCATCAAATTCACAGACACGAGACCTCTTACTGCTAATGACTTGTATGTGTTGAACTACCCTATAACTGGTTAACAAGTGTCCTCTGTCTCTATGTCTACTTCATGAAATTTCTTCACATAAGAATCAGTGTGCATCATCAAACCCATGGACCACCGAAGCAGACCTTAGGAGTATTTAGATAAAAAAATGTATTATATCATATAAAATCAAACAAATAGTTCGTAAAATCTGTGGTCTGATGATATTTCTTTGTGTTTTAATCAGCATCGCTCTATTTTAAACGTTTCTGACTGATAAATAATAATTAATTTTTATCTTTATCTTATAATTACCTCTTCTCCATTATTCAAGATGATACTCGTAGTTTTTGAGAACTAATAGAATTCTTAGCGATAATCACAATTTAATTAACATTTATATGTCCTAAGTTTAAGTGAAGTAGTTGACAAAATAAACGTTATGAATGTCTAAAGTAAAAAAAATAATATTGTTCATTCATTTATTGAATCAGAAGATATTCATTGTGGAAACCAAGGTAGTTGACCAAACATCTATTAGTCTTTGACCAGTCGTTTTAGATAAAGGTATCTGACTTATTTGAAAGACCGTTGAGATCTCTGAATTAGCACTAAACTATTACTGAGTGGATGTGTCAATTCTTATCATTTGATGCATTATCCAGTTCTCGTCACTACGTGGCTTGTCACTTTATGTTTTATTTACTAAAACCAACATTAGAGATCTATCATGTTACTCAATATCAAATTTCATCTAAATAGAGAGACAGATCTTGAAGGCTTTATCAGTCTGCACGTTGGCCCACCGCTAAATTATCAATCGAGTTTTCAGATAACGCTAACTCTTACTCTTAAATAATAGTCTTCATCAGAAAGGCTTATTTTTAATAACTGAATATTAGCTGACTCTAAAATTGAGGGTTGCATAATTCAGCATATACTTTAATCGACTTGTAATATTTTGCACTGAATATTTTGTAAGTAGTTTTGATGAGCAACTCGTTTCCGCATATCTGTTTTGCGAACTTTGTTCAAGTTCAACTGTTTTACAATTTCATATTTTAACTTTTAAGCGCATTCCCTAGATAAATCGGTACGCCCCTCCAAAAGGGAGATGGTATAGTTTATTGATCAGATTGTGTTACATGAATTCATTTCCATATCTAACCTAATACTAAGTTTCATGATCGTAATAAGACATGAGAAATTATATGCTAACAGGTTAATTATTACCTCTTAGTACAACTACAATTTCCCAAATTCTAAATCCTTATAATGAAAGCAATTTGATTTGAAAACGATAAGTTCATAATTTATTCATTTTTCTTGTAGTTATTTCCCTCCGTATACGTTGTAGGGCAAGAGTAACAAACATTGAGAGATGAAGTAAATTCATTTCGTATACCATATTTATTGCCAATAAGTACTAATTCGTATGAATAAATGATATGTTTGCAAATGCAGTTTTGTGATCAAAATCCAAAACGTCATTTAGTTCATTAGTGAAAAATAATTATAATTACTTTCCATATTCATACAAGTCGAATTTATAGACGAATGGAATAAGCGAGAGAAAGACCATGATGTATCCAATACAAGAAAGATTTCCCAATTGTTATGATTATCGTAGGCAAAATGACACGACTGACAGTAATTAACAAAAAACAATGATAGAGTTATCATAACAATTGTGAAAATAGTAAGAACAGTTGAAGGCTGTATGAAAAAAAGCAATTACTAAGATGGCAAAAATTATAAAAAGTCAAGGTTTAACAGTAGACGGATACACGAATTGGTTTTTTCACCTCAATAACTACTTTATTCTGATAATTTGATCTTTGGTATGATTTCAATTTACAGAATATATAATGTGAGAAATTTTAGGAGTAGGGAGTGTCATGACTACAAAAAGTACACAGCATCTTTTACATCTCTAATTATCAGATATTCCTCTTTCCTGAATCTGTCAGGTCAAAAAATCTTCCAAAGATACGAACTGACTTCACCTGGGAATGTTTCCAGAGTGTTTAGAATGGCTAAAACATTTTGAACACGTGGTTAAAAGTTTATTTGTGATTATAAATCATGATAGTGAAAAGCATTCAATTTATCTGAAAAGGTCTAATTTAAGTAAATTCAGCCTGTGTTTAGAAAATAAAACTTAAAGCCAAACTTTAAAACAATTAATGGCCTTTTTAAAGATTATGAAATTTTATAAATCAACGAACAAACAATTCGTAAGGAACCTGAGACATCACTTTTACTGCCTTATGTGTTTGTGTCGCCTTAATTGATATGCAGTTAAGCAAAAAATAATATCATGATCTGTTGTGATATTATAGACATTTGAATAATGTAAATGCTCATTATTAGGCGTATTATTAAGGGGGAAAATGGACATATTAGACACTTCTACTTAAAAGTGATTAACTAAAAGACACTCCTTTAAGATTAACTATTCCAGATAGTTACGTCATAATATTTACAAGATACATAAGATTATATCGTAATTTTTTTAATTTTTCAAGAAAAAGTAAGTACTTTGAAGATAATCATTGTTGACAAGCACTAATTACGTTTTAAAGAAAACATTCAACTACTAATTGGTGTTTAGGTTAATTCACTACCTGTAAGTGCCTATTAAGAAATAAGTGTCGCTTCATGTACTATAAATGAACTTTTTTTCGAATTTTATTTGGCATTTCCAATGAAATAATTATCATTCGGATAAACCACTCTTAAATTAT